CAACCGGGCCTCCAGTTTTAAAGTAATTCCCCAGAATTGCCCCAAGTTCATGCCCAGACGCAGGGACGGTTTTTAGAGCTCAGACTGATCTCCTGTGAACGAGCACCACCCAGGCTCGTGGCAGGTGGGGAAGGACATGCCTCGTGCTTTGTGTCTTCAGGTGATTCTGGAGCCTATTTGTCTGCACGTGTGGGCGGGGGACCTGGCAGTGTGCCCCTGAGAGTGAGCCGCTCCGTGTGATGGGTGTTTTGTAGGTGGTGAGGGCACATGCATCCATGATAAAGGCTCATCAGAACAGTGTCCCGCATGGAAGGGAGATCTGAGCTGAGGACAGAGACAAGAGGAGGTGCCGGTTCTGGGGCGTGGTTGGGCGAGGGGTCCCTTTCTCCCTGGAGAGCCTCCCGCAGCTTCTCAGCGTCACCTGATCAACCAGGCTCACACCTTCTCCCACAGGAGAGACGGCTCACATTGTCAAGGAGACTTTAAAGAACAAAGCTCTCTCTCAGTGCACTGGGATAAGTGGGGGGATATTTCACATTCACTACACGTGATTCAAAACTCAAACCAGCTCCCAGGAAAGGAAAATCACAGCATATTCTGAACTGCGTGCCTTCATACTTTTGCTGACGAAAGGCTCTAAACCGCTTCAGATCCGCCTTCGTATGTATAATCCAGAGAACAAAACTGCGTCGTGGGACATCGTGGCACTTAACGTTTGATTTTTGAAAGGAAGTTATCCCCATCTGTGAATTATTTCTTAAAAAAAAAACACTTAAAATGAGCAAGTGTCTTTCTCACTTTTAAATATCCGGTTCGAAAATAAGAAACATCACATCGCTGGTGTTCCAGAACGCAGGGGACCGCCAGCGAATGTCGGGTGCCGGCGAGTATCAAATTTAGGGAAAAAGACTTTCCCCAGGGGTGTGTGAAGATTTCTTCCAGATTCTACTGCTCACGGATGTGTCTGGATGCCCACAACCTCACCCTGTTGCTCCACAAGTTCAAAGGACAGAGAAGCCCCTGAGTACTTCTGTGCAGGACCATGGGGTTGGGGGGGGAGTCCCCTGCCGTCTCCGAGCCCGGGGGCCCCCGCATGTGGGCTGGATGGACGGGCTGATCCCCAGCGAGCAGGTGCCACGTCTGCCTCCTCCCTCTGCCCCAGGGATGAAAGGGAGAGAGCGGTTCGAGCTCCTGCCAGGGCACTGCCGGGGCTTGGGGGCGCCCCAGGTAGGTCGAGCTAAGGGAAGAGTTTTCTCCTGTGAACTCTTGCTTCGGGGGACCTGGAAGAGCTAAGGAACCCGAGGAGAGAAGAGAGCCATTAATTCCGGCTGTGAGCAGGATACTGCGGGGTGAGGCCGAGGGCACAGGTGTGAACCCGCTCAGAGGAGAGGCCAGGAGCCCTCACCTGAACAAGTTT